TAGCATGTATCCAATCGAACCGTGTTCAATCGTGTGCAAAGTAACGACAAAAGTAACTGTAAATTTCGTTACCGTTACCCAAAAAATGTAACTCGTTACCGTTACAGTTACCAAAAAAAGAAAGTAACGCAGTTACCAGTAAAGTTACCAAAAAAATAACTTGTAACTGTAACTTCGTTACAAGTAACAAGTTACTTCCATTCCCTGAATATATTTAATATTTGTCTATTAGAGCTGTATAGTTTATCTATATAGTTCATTTCGTCATTTTGAATTATATATATATATATATACTTATATATTATGTGTTATATTTTAACCTTTATATATCATATTTATGAAGTTATTTGAAAAAATATTAATTTACTGATAAAATTTAAATATATTGATTAATCTATCTAATGGACGTCCATCGTGGATTGACAGTGGATCATCCACAGATCATCCATTATATATCTCTAATGGACGTCTAACTAACTTCCGTCTAACTAACTAACTTTCGTGGATGTAGATGTCGCATGGAGCTATGGAGGTCATGTGGACGTCTAATGGATAATGTGTTCTGTGTGGGAAGTATTTTTCCTTTGCCACCCCCGATGGCCAATTTGAGTATTTGTGTCGCCCGTTTGGTTTTTGCGAAGCCCCTGCGGAATTTCAGAGAAGACTGAATTATATTTTGCAACCTCTTATTAGAGAGGATAAAGTTTTAGTCTATATGGACGACATTTTAATTCCTTCTATCACTATTGAAGAAAATTTAGAAGTTGTCAAAAGAACTTTGCTATTGCTTAAACAATATGAATTTGAAGTTAATTTAAAGAAATGTCAGTTCCTTAAAAAATCAATTGAATATCTAGGCTATTCAATCTCCTCTGATGGTATTACTTTAAGTAACAGACATACTAAAGCAGTTCAAGATTACCCGTATCCTCGTACAACTCATGAATTACAACGTGCCATAGGTTTCTTTAATTATTTTCGCCGATTCGTACCGAATTATGCAGCAAAGGCCAGGCCGTTAACAAACCTGTTACGTAAAGATATAAAATTTGTTTTTGATGATAGTTGCAAAGAAGCATTTGATTATTTTAAAAAAGCTCTTTTTTCATACCCTGTTTTGAGACTGTATCAGCCTACTGCTGAGACAGAGCTGCATACTGATGCCAGTTCAACAGCTATAGCTGCTATTCTCCTGCAGCGCCAAAGTGATGGAGTTTTAGCACCCGTAGCATATTTTAGCCAGGCAACTAATGGGGCGGAAAGCCGCTACCACTCATTCGAATTGGAAATGCTAGCGGTGGTAAAATCAATTGAAAGGTTTCACATTTACCTTTACGCTGTTAAATTTAAAATAGTGACAGATTGTAATGCCCTTGCCTGCGCTCTTAAAAAAGCAAGTATTAACCCTCGTGTAAATCGTTGGATTTTAAAGCTACAAAGCTACTCGTTTGATGTAGAACATCGAAGCGGTCAAAAAATGTCTCATGTGGACGCGTTAAGCCGTATATGTATAGCTTCTATAGATTCTATTCCTTTAGAACAGGAATTACAATACAGACAACTTGCCGATACAAGTTTGCGTAAGCTTGCTCAGAGTTTAGAGCAGGAAGAAAATAAAGAATTTCAATTAATAGATGGTCTTATTTATAAAAAAGGTAAATATCGAGCTAGATTTGTCGTTCCTGAAAATATGATATATCAGCTGTTGCGAATTTATCACGACGAAGCTGCTCATTGCGGAGAAGAGAAAACCTACCAAGGTCTCAGTGCGAATTACTGGTTTGCATCTATGCGAAATAAAGTAAGAAAGTACATCTTTATTGTATGAAATGCATGTTAGCGAATAGCTCACCTAATACAAAGGAGGGTGAATTACAAATCACTCCGACTCTTTCTCTACCGTTTTGTATTCTCCATGCTGATCATATGGGTCCCTTACCTGAAACGTTTGATAAATCTAAGCACATTTTAGCTATAATCGATAGTTTTACCCGCTTTACTTGGCTCTTCGCGGTGGAAACTACCTCTACAAGTGAAGTAATTGAATATTTGACTCCTTTATTCGATATGTTTGGCAATCCCGATGAATTGGTTACTGATAGAGGTACAGCCTTTACCTCGGATGAATTTGCTGAGTTTCTCTATACTCGTGAAGTTAAACACCGTCAAGTAGCTGTGGCTGCTCCTTGGGCTAATGGCCTAATTGAACGCGTTAATAGATTTCTAAAATCTTCACTTAAGAAGCTAGTGATCGAAGATACCGATTGGTCTGCTCATTTACCAACTATTCAGTACGTAATTAATAACACGTTTCACAGTTCTATTAAAAATACTCCTTCCAAGCTTTTCTTTGGCTACGATCAACGTAACCATTCTGATTCAAAATTCGTTGACTTTTTGACTAGTTTATCTAAATCTGAATTGCATTACGAAGAAGAACGTAACTTAGCACGTCAAGTAGCTATAGATACAACCAACCAATTAAAACAGTATAACAAAGTTTATTACGATCGAAGACATAAAACTCCAACTAAATACAAATTAGGGGATTATGTTAGTATTCGAGATCACGGAGCCAAATCAAGTGGTCATAAAAAGTTTAAACCTCTCTATCATGGACCATATATGATAAGCAAAATTTTAGATAAAAATAGATATGTTGTAACGGACATTCCGGGTTTTAACTTAACGTCTAAGCCATATAATTCTGTCCTTTCCCCCCATAGACTTAAGTATTGGATAAAACCGTTAAAACCCCCTCTAGATGATAAGCAAACGCTCTAATTTTAAGATATTATTTGATTATTGTATTTAAAAAGCGACTTAATCATTTTTATAAGTTAAGCCATTATAAACTTTTGATTTTGTTTCAGTTATAATTTTAAAAGGAAATAAAATAAACATGTTTCCGTTCGAGTCGAACGCTCTGTCAGTATGGCCGAGCTGTAAGAAATGGCCTATTTCAGTTACTAGCGAGCTAGTTCTTTTCTGTTATTTCTCCATTACTAGCGCTCCACTCGCATGTGCGCGCAGTCCTTTCCGCTTGTGATTGGTCTGCCTTAGTTGTAAGTCGTTGATTGGCCTATACACGGCATCTCTCCCTCCTCGGGTACGCGAGCCCGCGAGAAGTCGTGGCAGTCGTTGTTCGTGCACGGTCGTGCAGTGAACAGTTCAGTATTGTTTGAGATACCAAGCATTGTACTCATATATTCACGTTAAGTAAAGTTATAGTAAAGCCTACTTAGTGTGTTCTGACTTATTGCTCGTCGCCCTCTTTATACCAGACATCCTGGTTTACTTTAGATTGTCCCCGAGACGTCCTCGGTTCCATTATAGCCGTGATTAACCCACGACTTCCTTTCCTGACATTCTTTGGCAGTTTTAAATTTTAGATTGTCCCTGCCTTACACTATCTAGTAAAAATTGTCGTTAAAAAGTTTTAGAATAGGCCTACTGCCCCTGTATTCTGTAACTCGTTAAGGCAGTTAACGACATCGTTGCGCAGATATCTTATGGTATAAAAAGCTGCGCAACGATGTCGTTAACTGCTTAACGAGTTACAGAATACGGCCTCTGGGGGCCTATTCTGTACACGCTTACTGACAACTGTCGGTGTCGTTAAGTAGCAATAACCAATGGTAAGGATTAGGAGAAAAGTGCGATTCTTATTGGCTATCGCTACTTAACGACACCGACAACTGTCGATAGCTGTGTATAGAATATGGGCAATGGGTATCGATCATGAAACTTTTTCCCTAGGATGAAAAGTGAAAAGTGAAAATTTTTATCATTTGACCTAGTTTACACCCAGCCGTCCAATCCCAATTCACTTCGAAATGAAGTGAATTTATGGAACGTTTACACCCGGATTGATATTACTCCTAAGAGGCATAAGAGCGGTATGAAAGTAAAATGTTAGAGTTGCCAACCTAATTAATTATAAAGATATAATGGCGTCATATAACCTTATGATAAAAGCGAAAATGCAAATTCACTACCAGTGGAGAAACAACAGAAACGCATAATATTTAGAATAATAATTGTCATTATTTTTTTTATTTTTGAAGTTTTATGAAAAATATCAGGACTTATATAGTGTATAATAATGAATTTACAAGAGATAGTTGTTATTAACGCATCATACATGAAAATTATAAAACAAATGAGTTTACTCAAAATACATATGTATCATAAACTTTTGGAAAATATTTTGAACATTCAACAAAATATAATAACAGAGCACACTTCTGAAAACACAAAATATTAATCGTAAACCTATGCGAATCTGGATGAAAAACCGAAATCAGTATTGGTGGGAAGAAACTGTAAATAAACATTTTGAAGATGAAGATTGGATTGAAACATTCAGAAAGAAAAAATCGACGTTCTAATATATATGTGAAGAGTTACGTCCAATGCTTGAACCTGTTGAACCTCTATTAAAACCACCTAGAAAACCCTTAAATGTTGAAAAAAAAGTTGCTGTAGCATTGTATTACTTGGCAAGTTGTTGCGAATATCGTGTAGTTGGAAATGTTTTTGGTATACATAAATCGACAGTATGGAAATGTGTACACGCTGTTGTTAAAGCAATAAATACCACACTTCTTCCTGAATGGATCACAATGCCAGACGAAACAGAGTGTGAAGTAATATCATCATTTTATAAGAATTTAACTAATATTCCTCAAATCATTGGAGCACTTGACGGTACACATACCTATATTACCTCCAGTTGAAGGCTACAGAGATTACATAAATCGGAAAGGATGGTCATCAATTGTGCTCCAAGGTGTAGTGGATACAACTTTGATGTAATAAATTAATGTCAAATTTCCAATTACAAAGAAATTAAAATATTCAGGAGTTAATATTTAATTATGAATGAATCCTTTTCCAGATTTAGAAATATAAACTGTCAAGCACCTGGATGTTCACATGATGTAGCTGTTTTAAAAGAATCTATGCTATACAAAAATGCAGAAAAATTGATACCTAAAGTATTTATTAAAACATATTATTTATATTTCTATTTAGCAAATTAAAACTATTGTTTTAAAATAAAAATAGTATTAAAATGTCTAAATTCTTTTGTGAACTTTGTAGAATTTCAAACAAGTTCGAAACGTGAATGTACCATATTTTATAATGGGAGATGGTGCTTATCCACTTTTGCCATGGCTAATGAAAGCATATGGAAACACCAAGCTAACGCTACAAGAAGAATTATTTAATACGCATTTTAATAGAGGAAGAGTTTACGTTGAAATGGCTTTTGGACGTTTAAAATCTCGATGGCGTATACTTTTAAAACGTAATGAATTGAACTACAAATTTGTTCCTGATGTGGTCGCTACTTGCTGCACATTACATAATATCTTAGAAACTAAAAAAAGATCCATTTTTAAATGCTTGGGAACAATATGTAAAAGAAACTGAAAACACATTTCTTCAACCGCAAAATTTATCATGCAGAATATATAACGATTTTAATGCAAACCAAATTCGAAATGCGTTGCGTGATCACGTTGCAGAACTCTTATTAGAATAACAAGTTTTAATAAATTAATACAAATAGAAATACATAATTGGTTTTTATTGTACAAATAATTATATATTTTACTTATTAGAATACTTATGTTTATTTATGTAACAGTATTATAAAATACATTTTTAAATATATAATAAAAACATTAAAAACATAGTTTTCTTTTAGGAACAATACTTATCACGCAGAAATACTTTTTTAATTACATATCACTTGTACCTTTTTAAGTACATATTTCGCGAAAAAAAAAATATATAGATTTAATATAATTTAATATAAATTTTATTAAAATTTAATAAAATACCACATAAGATCTTAATAAAGAGTTGTTTTTTATTAAAATCTTATATAGATTTAATTTGGACCATATAATGATCCATATTAAGTTATATAAGTTTTTTATTAAATATTTATATGGAATTTTTAAAATTTAACCCATATTTGATCTTAATAAGCAGCTTATAAATTCTTTATATGTTTTATTTGTAACATTATGAATTTTATTGAAACCTTATATAGATTTAATTTGGATCATATAATGATCCATATTAAGTTATATAAGTTTTTTATTAAATATTTGTATGGAATTTTTTAAATTTACCCATACTTGATCTTAATAAGCAGCTTATAAATTCTTTATATGTTTTATTCGCAAAATTACGAATTTATAAGCTCCTTATTAAGATCAAATATGGGTAAATTTTAAAAATTCCATATAAATAGAAGCAAACTTAAAAAAATTTTTAACAATTCTGTGTTTTTTAGCAAAGTATATAAAGCCAGTATAACGCTCTTGTGGAACATATAGAGAGTAAACAAACTAAACAAATGAGATAAAAATCAGCAGTTTTGCTTTCTAAAAAAGAGACATATACAGTTTATATATTTATTTATTTTATCAATAAAAAGATATACTAAAAATACAAAACATATAATAAAGATTTCATATAAATATATATACAAATTTAATGAATGCAGTACATAGAGGCCGAGCTGTCATTTACTAAAATGCATATACATATGTAAAACGTTTATATTTTTATTATATATTCCATATACAACAAATTGAAAAGTGGAAAATTGTATGATACGCAGATGCAACATGTTGCTCACTTGTATATCATATACGATTAATCAATCCGATGAATTTAAAAAACCTGTTATAAAGAAAAATAAAATGACATATCATGCGTATAAAATGCGCGCGTGAAAAGAAACACAGCCTATAAGTGTGAACTGTGAATACAGTGTGAAAAAAGGCATCGTGATTAAGAGAGCCAATCAAAGCTATTCCTTCAACGTCGCATCTCTGTTTTATATAGCTCTATAGTTACAACAAAAATTTTTCGCTAGAAATAAAATAACGATAAAAGTAACTCGAAATCGTTACCATTACTTCAAAAATGTAACTACGTTATCATGAACGTTACTCCGAAGAAAATGTAATGTCGTTACCTATTCGTTACCGAAAAAAGTAACTTGTAACGGTAACTACGTTACAAATAACGCGTTACTTTTGCTAACCCTGTCAATATTATATACATTATGTATATCTATATTTTTATGTAAATATACAGCATCGCTACATTATGACTGATTATAAGTACAAACTTATACATTTTTTTCGATAAAGTTTGGACTACGGCACACGAAGTTTCCAATTCTTATAACTTTAAATAGTACATATTGAAAGAGTATATGCATTTTAATTTATTTGAGGATATAACTGGAATTATGTGATTAACCTTTACACGACTAGCTTTGTGGAAAAAAATAGCAGTATGAATTATTTTAAAAACGTTGATTACTGCATAAACATTATCATTATCATCTGAACTTTTCTTAACGAAAAATTTTATTTTACCATAACCTGAACATTGTTCTTGTTCAAAATACATTGTGAAATTGTTTCGCCTTTTTTCTCTGCGGTATATCAAAGAGGTAAATATTTCTCTTTTTTGAAAATCTTGGACCCTAGAAAATACAACATACGGTTCAACAAAGCCACAAGCATGAAGAAAATCTTGATCTAAAACATTTAGACATTTTGAATCACATTTATTCAAAAGTTGGTAATTATAATGAATGTTTTGAATGTTAGCAGTATTAGAGAGATGAACTCTACGCCTTAAAATTTCAACTCCATGGGCAATTCTAAGATTGTTGATTAATTCCTTTCCTTTATTTTTTGTTCCATGAATAAGCTGACTGATAATCCCATTATATTTTTCAAAAGTGAAAGCTGAAGTTGTCCACAAAGGTCCCCATCTTCTCACGTACAATGGAAGATGAAGCTTCATGTACATTATAAACATAATCACTAGGTCGATACAAAATTCCAATGTCCCTTACAAACATCCTGAGCATTATTTCTGTCATTTTAATATCAGAAAGTTTTATATCTTTCTGAAGAAGTAGATGGATGGATAATACAAAAAGAATCCAATGTTGCAAGTAAGCATTAGGTAAAAACTTAGAAAGAATAGGAAGAGAATAATACAAGAGAAATGCCCTAAATTCACTAGCTTTCCACAATTTTGATTCTGAAATCCCTCGTGGCAATCTGCTTATAATATTTGGTGGTCGAATATTGATGAGAAGCTGATTAATCTCATTCACATGATTTCCAATATACCATTCACCTCCATTAACATTGAACCATAAATTCATGAAACGGTGTACAACACCCAAACAAACAAGATGCATATATTCTCCAAATACACATTTTGAAAGATCGAGATAGAGAATTAAAGATAAAACGGATGGACCCTTAACACCTTTGATTTCTTTTTTTTCTTTGACTGCTTTTCTAGCTTGTTTTAACATTCGTTTATTAGTTTGAAGACGAGCTGGCTCTTCTTTGAACAAGAAGGCACTTTTTCTCTTAATTTGTCTTTGATCAAGTAATATTAATTCATCAGGAGTCAGAGGAATTTTTTCCATTTTTTGTTCACATGTATTACAGCTATATAAACCAGTATGACTCATAATGTTCTGTAATTGGGCTCTGACCGGAGCATCAGCACACATAGCTGGAGCTAAAACAACCGAAGTTATCTGAATGTTCCAGTTATCTAGGTGTGTCCAGCTCACACCATCCCTATTATGAATACTAATCAAAGACTCAACAAATACTCTTAAAAACATATTCATAGGAGGATGTTCAGTATCACACCATATTCCATTTAATATCATAAAAGAAGATCTTAATTGAGATGGAACTTCGCATATGGTTAACAATAATGGATACAGAGTTATTTTTGAGCTGCGACTTAAGGAAATTCCATCTGTATTTAACATTAAAATTATTCCATATTGGGCATTATCCAAAGAGCTTTGCACTCTTATATACACTCAGAACCATCACAAATGTCTCCTATGGTATCTCTAACATTTTCTCTTCTTTTTAAAATTTCATGAAGTCTATAATTTTCAAAATAATGTTTAATTTGATCTTCAATAGAAAAGCCATAAAATACCTTTTTCTCTAAAGAATTGCACATAATACATGAAGCTTGATCACAAGATCGTAAAACAAAACATTTCGAACAGTAATAATATTCAATTTCTTTGTACAATGGAGCCAAATCTCTTATATATTTCAAAATGTGATAAACAGGTTTAGGCATATTATTTGATTTTGGAAGGTATTTTAAAAAGGTTGAAATATGATCTTTAAGACTTTTCTTTGTTTCCTTATTATTTAAGTGATGGTGTAACAAATCCAAAATAGCCTCATCAACAATGTGCTGACAACCATCATACAATTTCTGCTTATTAATATCATCTTCCTTTAAAATATTTTCAGTATCAGTTTCATCATTTGACTCCGAACTAATATCACTGAATAAACATTCAGTAATTATACTTTCAATATCGCTTATTTCACTTGTGACATTATTAATATGAAAAACATTACTGTTATCCAAATCTGCAGTGCAGTAACTCTCTCCATTAGATGGCAGTATTTCGGATTTTTCTTTATCTCGTTCTTGATTTAATAAGCTCACCATAACAGGTTCTACATTGGCTTCATTGTTATTTGAGAAAGATTAATTTTCATCAGAATTTTTGAAATATTCTGTTCGCTTCCAGTTATAGAGAGTGGACCTTGATGGCTAGAAATGAAAATAAAGAAATAGCAATAATACTCTGTTATAAATAGTCCAAACTAAATTTTCACACTTAAAATTTGACATATTTTATTCTTTCACTTAATAAGATTCCTGTTTTTAATCTCATATTATGATATGCTCTTGTGCAATAATTGTATCAACATACGTGCTTATTTCCATTATTTCCATCACGCGTAAACACTTGCCATGTTCTCTGTTTCTTAATAGGAGTTTGAATAGGAGAAGAATCTGATGATTGTATTGGAGAGGATGGCGGGGTGTGTGGAGGCGGTGACGAAGAATCCATATTTCTTAATTGATAAGAATTCTACAATAAAAAATCAATAAATTAATAATATAATTGAATTATAGACTTTTATATGTTTCAAAAACAATACAAAAAATTTAAGTAAACACAAAAGGCTATTAAGAGTCAACGCTGTTAGCAGTGCGTAAAAACATAATCTTAAAATCTATAACATAGATATTATGTCGAACGTTTCGATCCTTCGTTTCGGATCATCATCAGCGACAATACAATAGAAAATTAAAAAATCAAGCGACGCGGTAGCGTCGCGACGCCAAGTGCATAAAATAAAAATATAACCGTTTGACATGATGACATGATACTTGATGCGTGTATATGTTCATGTCGATGTCAAATTCACGACGCTACCACTAGCTTTATCTCGAGTTTTCACATCTTGAAACTTTAGATTAAAATTACTCAGAATTTAAAAGCACAATCAAAAATCTAAAAACACTTTTATTATATA